AGATGGGTTTTAGCCCCCGTTCCGCAGTGTCGCTCCGTGCCGCCTCGTTTCAAGCCACGTGCGAGTCCGTAGAGGGGTTTTCTAAAGACTTGGCACTATTTGTTGCCATCTGAGACTGCAGTCTTTAGCCTTTTCTCGGCTCATGACCCATGACTTTACAGGCCAGGTAAGCGTTCATGCTGAGAAATGCGAGAGTGCCTATCAGGCACTCATGACACTCAGCGACGATGACCGATTCCTCGCGACGAAGTACGAGTCCGAAGGCACTGCAAAAAGATAAAAGTCTCTGCAGAGTGTTTGCAAACCGGTTCAACCTACATGACGGAAGACCTGTTTTTCTCGTCTTTTTTTCTTTGGTCCCTGGTCGGTGCACCGGCTTCCGATTAAGGTATGCATTGCGCCTAATGAGGGGTCGGGCTTTAGATACCCGATCGCCTCATGTGGGTCGAGATTGAGATGCGGGATCACCGCCATCGCCTGCGGGGGCGAGTTTAAGACAAGGCAACAACCCCGATGGCCCAATAAAGAAAGCTGCCTTGCGAAGCCACACAGGAATTTCAGGTGTTGAGAGTAAGATCATCTTATTGCAAGCGCAGGTTCTGATGAAAACGTAAAAGACAAAGGTTTCAAGTACTCCCACAAACGTATAGATGTGCATAGCAAGAAGTCAAGGCATGAGAGCTCCTTGTAAGATATAGAAGACACTAGATGCTTTCCTGTTGAAATGCAGAGAAGGTGTGTCAGAAGTGTTACAGGGCTCCCCGAGGTCTTGGAAAAAGAGGACGAACACAGCACGACAGCAAGCAACTCCACCCTTTGTAAGCCCCGTGTGTACGTTTCAACAAGATCACAGTAGCAGCGAGCTCAGTCCAAACTAACTTCGGGTCCCTGCACCATCAAGTGGAACTTCTCAAGCAGAAAGCACTCACGCCGAATCGAACGCAACTGGGCAGGTGGCTTGGGTCTCTGCCTGAGTCGGGCATGGACAGTTCCGGCCTGTGGCTCAACCGTCCGGTGCATCTCTTGGAGAGCAGGTTTGTTTTGTGGTAGTTGGGCGGTTCATTCAGATATTTCTTGTTTGGATCTGTCAGATAGCTTTGAGAGAAGACGTCAGGTTCCAAGCATGTTGCAGCCGGTGGTTAAGTGTTGATGCCGTCTGTTGAGGGTCGATGGCTCAGGCTCAATGCCTATCTGTCGAGCGATTGTAGGCTAGTCTAGAGATGGCGATGTTAACCAGCTGCTACGGTTTAGCCATCCTGAAAGCTACAGAGGCGGAAGGACGAGAGCTGTGATCATTCTCAATTGCAGCGCGCGACTTGAAGCCTAAAACTCGCGACCATCCCTGTGAAGCTCAGGATGAGCTCCGAGCGGAAGCTCGAAGCATTCTCCGGACCATGGCCGGGGAGGCAGAGGCCCTCTCAGAAGCCACTACACGACACATAGCGTGAGATCACATCATTACATTGTCATTTTGTCGTGCTGGATGGTACCTTTTAAGAAAGGGCATGCTTTGGCTGTTGCCGACTCGGCCAACTTGCGTAATGAGTGGGCAGTTAACCCCAAACCACCGGCGTGGTCATGTTTCAGTTGGGTTCATGTGAGCATCTCCTTGTCGGCCTGTCAAGCAGTACCGACAGCTCTCTGCGCCACCGTACAATCCGAGTCTTGCGAACTTGCCGAATCTAGCCTCGTTAACTCTAAACTCTTGACAGTCCCGAACTGTAGTCATAGGATCTCGCAGCAGCAGAGTTGTGGATGCCTTATGACTCATGCCTTTGCAGGAGGTAAATGGCTTGTTTGGCAGGTGGCAGCACGTATTAGTGGAGCCCTGAATCCTAAACCGTGCTGATGGGCCTTTCGCATGTAAAGATGCATTTTTCCGGGCAGAGCTCCGTGAGGAGGGTGATGCCGAGCGAATGGCAGATACAATGCTGAAGTCCGAGAAGGTCAATGTGCTCTTCCCAGATCTCTCTAGGTTTCTCGGTGTTTTGCTGGGCGTCAGAGGTTCGGCGTCATAAAGGATGCAGTACGGAGGGTAGTGGGGTTGTTCTGGCTCGGTGTTCCCTGAGGGCACTTCGATGAGAGTCTGAGTCCGGTTCACTAAGCCCAGCTTGCTAAATGTTGCATGTTCTTTGGAAATCTCATGCTGCTGACATGTCATGTTTCCATCTTGCACATGGGGAAATTTCCTAAGCACAGACAGCGGCTGGAGCTGCAACTCATTGTAATGAAGCTGGAACAAGCTTCAAGCTTGGAGCCCTACATGCCTGAAGCCAACAGTCTGCGCGCTGTGCTACACTGCTTCACGCGAGGTGCCTTGGGATGAGCTGCAGTCGCAGCTGGGCACCGGCGAGGTCGTACAGGGGGTTGTTACGAGACTTACGCCATCTTTGATAGCCGAGCCCCCAACCAACAAATCTCTAAGCACCATGGCGGGCCAAAGTGAAGCAACCTTCTGCGACCAGTTGGGCGCTGCGGAGAAAGCTGCAATGCTCCTCCATGCAGCAGATATCGCCGAAGAGCGCGAGGCAATTCTTCTAGAGAGCGGAGAGTAGCCGCTTCTTGGGCGGGTTCGGCACTGCAGCTTGCAAGGTGCAGGAGTGCAGGATTCAGAGGGTCTGTCGCATCCTATGTTGTCGGTCGAGGTTGACTGACACGATTCGTTCATGTTTTATCGGCTTCTGGCACAGCTGCAGTTCCGGCTTGCCCGACCCAGTTAGCATGTCAATCAGCCTGGTTGGATGCATGTCTGTATGCATGCATGCAGCTGCATGCATGTATGTCTGTATGTATGTGCATGTGTACGTAGGTATATATGCATGTAGGCAGGCAGGCAGGCACGCAGGCAGGCAGGCAGGGAGGGAGGGAGGGAGGGAGGTAGGTAGGTAGTGTGGGTAGTGTGGGTAGTGTATACATCGTGTATATGTAGTGTATATGTATGTATGTAAGTATGTATGTACGTATGTACGCATGCATGCGTGCATGCGTGCATGTACGCATGCATGCGTGCATGCGTGCATGTATTGACAAATGTCTGGGTATATCTATCCATGCGCGACGAACGTCTGTCCTCCCGCTTTACTTCGAGTTGCAACGTCTCCATTGTCCGCATACACATGTCTGCAAGCCTCGCAGCCGGAATCCTACAATGTTAGATCCCCAACAGCCGTCCATTTTTCGCAGGCGGTCATGCGCAACACCTGGAGTGACATTGCCTTCCCGACAAACATTGCGAAAGGGTTGATTGGGGTTTGTCGAGTGCTGGGCAAGGAACCCTACATGTTAAAGCCGGACTTTCTCACCGGGGTGCCAACGCGGCAGGCAGTTTTGTTTTCACCAGGTCACTGTTCGATAATTCTTATCAGCGTTATCAGTGCTGTGCTTGTTCTACGGCAGCTTGCACTACACTCTGGTTTACTTTCTCTTTCACACTATAGAAGCAAGACTCATGCTGGGAAGTTCCTGTTGCCGGAGCATGCGTAGTCTCAGTCTCATCGCCGCTGAACTCTGACCACTGGACTCGAACCCCCCCCACCTCTCCACTGGCTTGACCACTTGCATGTCGTATTATCTACCCTTGAAAATTGAATACCGACGTCTAAAGAACATGCGGATTTATGAAGCACGACAATAAGGTGCAGAACAAGATACTGGAAGACTGAGAATGACAGTTTGAATCTTGGTGTTCTGCCCTTCATATGGCCTACTCATGCATACTCTTTTGGTTCCAACATTTGACCACCGATTCCTCCTTGTCATAAGTATTGTTGTGGTTTCTATTGCCGTCGTTGTTGTTGGTTTGCTCTCAGGGTCCTTCCTGCTAGCGATATTGATCGAAGCCAGGAGTTTCACGGAGGGGAGATGGGCAACGCCGAGCTTGTGGAGCGCCTGGAGCGGCAGTTTGCTGCGCTGGGAGCCTCAGAGGGTCATGGCAGATCCACAAAGGCTCAAGGCTTCTGTTGGCTTTGACCATGCGTAGCACAGCAACAGTGCTTGCGACTTGGACACTTCATATCTGATACTTTGGCGTTATCGCAGAAGTTACAGATATCTGGGGCCTGTGTCAGACAGTCAGCATCTGCATCTTTGGTCGGAGGCAGCTGGTGAAGTCCGCGGAGGTGCGGATCCGTCACCGGAAGGATGACGAGAAGGAGGTGTGTTGGGGCATGCTTCGACTCTGCATGACGGTCATGTTATGCAGTGCTGAACATGACATCAGCAATAACCCTGATCAGTTTCAGCAATCATGCGGTAGCTAATCTCGATCTGGCATATGTCGCCTGAGAGCGTTGAAGTTTTGGGACGGAATTTCTGGCATGTCAAACCATCTCACCGTTGCAAAGCTCGACCGCTAATTGCCAGCACTCTCCCTTTCTGTCACAGGTTGTTAATGTGACTGTCATCTGGTGTGTCTTGAGCGCGTATATGCAAGTTGTGCAAGTTCACTTGCCGCTGGAGAGTCATGCAGGAATACCCAGGTTCCCCTGGCTCGGACAGGTCACAGCCCCGGCAGCCGCGACGGCGGAGGCAGGTTCGGTCACTTCCATAGGCCTTCCGTTCAATGTTCAGAGCTTACGATTCAGAAATTTGTGAGGACAGGCAGAACAGCAGCGTCAGGAAAATGCGAGAGGGACGGACCAAACTACAGACTGTTTCACCAGATACCGGTTGGGCTTTAGGCTCGGGCAAAGGAGGTTGCAGTGAGTTGGTGTAGACAGCTTCCGTTTCACTTCTTGGAGACTGCAGGCGTGTCGTGGCTGACTGTGTGGCCCAAGACAGCCAGTCCTGCATCGTTTTCACCGAGAGCATATCCGAGCCGCAAAGAGTGAGGCATCAAGCCCAGGCCAACCAACACTACCTCGCGATATAAACATAAACCTAACCCAGAAAACGCATCCCTGTGTGCGAGACAGCATACTGTTGAAGCCTGTCTCAGACGATCACCCCAACCCAAGCCCCTGAAGTCGTCCTCCTTGGGGCATGTTCTGGCATCGCGAGCCATGTACCTTTGGGTCTTCCCGAACCGAGACTATGCCGTGGGTGCCATCTCAGGACGGGACATATTCAAGCATGTGGTAAGGACTTCCTGCAGGGCTTCGGGTCGTGGATTTTGTTCTTGGAGGATGGGTTTCGGAGTTGAGCAGAATTTGTTTGGGACATGCATACACATTCATGCAGATATACACGCACGTACACACACACACACATATATATATATATATGTATGCAAGTATGCATGCAAGTATGCATGTATGTATGTATGTATGTATGTATGTATAGATAGATAGATAGATAGATAGATAGACAGATAGATAGAGAAGTATACATGCATGCATGCATGCATGTATGCATACAGACGCTCATTCATACAGGCAGTCATACACCCACAAAGGCACATATCCTTATTTATTCGTGAACATACACATTTCAGACGTGTTTCTTTTTGTGGTGTTAGGGACATACATGTCCCGTTGGTGCTCAGGCGTCGTAGCATCATGCGCCGCCGTGGGTCTCTCACATCCCATCGAGTGTCGTGGCTGACTAAGTTCTTCAAGCTTGCTGCGTCCCATCCCGTCCTCAACTCTACACATGCCGGCCCTGCAAACTAGGGCGCAGGCACCGTCAGGGTCAGACCTGTATGAAGAGCCGTATCAGCAAATATCTGGCATTTCCACTTCGGGGCACCCACCTCCACTCTCCACTGGGCCCTGCACTCGGGGCTCTGCCTGTCCCAACCACCAACCTGTCCTCTCAGGGCCGTGAAGGTGCGTATGCAGACCGCTCAGCACCTGGAGCCGGGTGCCGTGCCCTGGGCAGCGCATTACAACACTCATTGTTGTTAGCCTTGGGGTTATACTAAGTTATATACTACCAGAGACTGCACATGTAGGAGGGCAGAAGAGGAGCGGCTTCCAAAGGCTCCATGCACTCCAATAGATCTGAACGTGTCTGATCCAGATTCTGTTCTCTAGGCCTCCACTTCTCTCGGCCGATTGGCTGGCCTGCTGCGGAGGCCGGCTGCACATGGCGAGAAGAGTTCTCTGTAGAGCCGGCTTGAGCCTGGGCAGGCCTTACTATGGTGTGGGCCCTCACCTTGTGCAGGCTCTTGACGGGAATCTCCTTGCTTGGGGGCATCAAGGGGCTCGAGTTGCAGATGACCCAAAGTACTGGGTCGATGGTTTATTCGAAATACGAAATTGGGAAGCCTGTCAAGGTTCCTTGGGAGATCCATGTAGATGATTCTTGCGCAGTCCGCATTTGAGGCCGCCAGGGTCGCAGGATAGTAGCAGGCTTGATGCTGCACCGGAGAAGCAAAAGCGATGATCTCAGAGATTGCGTTGGCATCCAGTGCTGGCAGTACATGCTGCTGAACTCTGTGCGCTTCGGATCCTACCAAGCTGCCCAGGCCGCACAGCTGCCTGCTTCTTTCAGTCAGGACTTTGAACCCAAGACGTCAGCATATCAAGCCACAACGTTTCAGTTTTCGACAGGATGGATCTGTTACTTGTTGCCGAAGCAGGATCTGCAATAGAGAAGCCTCATCTCTGAGCCTCCCAACCTCAAGCAACGAAGACCACAACCCTCGTTCTTGATCCCCGGACACCAGGGATATCTTCAGAGAAGAGCTGGTGAAAGACGCCTTTGGCTTTCCGAGGCCGGGGAAAATGGTGCCAGCATCAGCATCACCACAAGTAGTAGCGTCACCATCGTCAGTACCACCAACAAGCTAGTCGCACATGATGATGATGATGATGATGATGATGATGATGATGATGGTGATGGTGATGGTGATGGTGATGATGATGATGATGATGATGATGATGACGGTAATGACCATGCCACCCCAGCCCGGACAGCAGAATGCACTTGACGATCCCCTCAGCATCTTGCAGGTAGTCGTAGTCCAGCAACATAGTTGGAATCGTAATGGCAATGTATGTAGATGAGTTCGGAGCCACTGTTTCATGGCCTCAGCGAGGCGGTGACAAGAGCGACAGAGTTCAGTGTCGCATCACATGAATAGCAGCTTTCTGAGCCACAAGAATCTGGAGCTGGAGCAGCTAATTATTGATGGATTATGTATGGCACCAAAGGCCCAGGACGTAATCTGCCAATCCCCTATAGACCGCATTGAACGGGCCTCAGATCTTCGGAGCTGGCGCTTTCTCTGGCTTTTGCGTCGCCGCCCTGCTCCATCCCCTCTTCGTTGTGAAGACACATCAACAGGTGGAAGGGCAGTCGATGATCTGGTCTGATGAGGGTGTCGGATCTCTTGAAAAGACCCTACACCCTAAACCCTCAGCTGATGTAATTATCTGGGTGGCGGTGGCTTCGTAGATGACCAGACTCTTTGCTTATTGTGTGCGAGGGTTCAGAATCAGTTCAGACCTTCGATTTTCGACGGCCTACGACACAGCGCTCCTTTTGTTTCTTCCTCCTAGGGAGTTGTGTCTTGAGCTTGGGTTTCTTGAGCTTCGGGGCAGAACGAGTCGTCTATTGCTGCTGTCTTCACATAGAACCTGAGACGACCCCCTCCCCAACAGTTCCACTAGTCTGCAGGCAGCTCGCTGGCTGGAATGTGTGTTTTCAAAATCGGATGTTGTGAGTCTGGCACCTCACCGCCCTCCTCGAAGCTTCCAGGGCTTGTCATGGCAGCGCTCAGCATCGCGCAGGTCAACCGGCTCTCCACGCCACAGGCAGCAAAGCGCTTGTGGCACGGAGAGGGACCGAAAGGCCGCTGCGTCTATTGGTTGTCTCTCTACTTTCCTGATCGTCCTTGCATCTTTGGTCGCCTCGCCGTTTAGGTTCCATTTCAAGTCCGTGAAATTCAGGGTAGGAGGCCAAGGCTCAGGGGTATCCTTTTTCGGATCAGGCCTCTGAACTGGCATCAGGCCAGGCCTCAACACGAGCACAAAGCATGGAAGGTGGCCTCTTCCAAGGGTGGAGAGAGCAGCAGAGTTCTCCCATGTTCGAGTTTGGTTTAGTGTGAAAGCCGGTTAAATGCAGTTGCCATGAGCTCATTCCGAGTCGCACTGATGTATGGATCTTGCTTTGCCTCGGCTGTAGTTAAGCTGGACAGGGATCGGTATACGCTGCCAGGCCTTTTCCGCACGTTCTTCGCTGGCTTTGCCCGCTTTCCTTTGGCCCTTGGGGTCTTCTTCGCGTCCTACGAAGAAGCTGAGCTTGAAGTTGTCTGCCAGTTGCTTGAGTGGTTCGAGAGTAGGGGCATTAAGCCAGAGCCACTCCATCCGAGGCGATGAAGCGCAGTTCGTCGCTATGGCCGTTCGACAGACTCGGTTGATTCGTACGCAGTTCAGTGTGGTCAGCATGTCATCTCAATTGTTGGCATCCTTACCGGCTGCCAGATCGCACAGTCTCAGGTTCGGAAGTCGCAGCAGTGCAGCTGCGCAACAGCCCCTCAAACGCAAGCATGAGGCTTCAACCCATTTGCAGGACTCGGTTTGCAACTTTAGGTTCAGTAAATGGCCTCCGGGTGCAAGTGTGGAGTTCGACTGAACTTCAGGTGTTTACGGAGCTGTCGCTGGTGTCTTCTGTTGGACATCAGTTTTCCCGCTGGACGTGCCTCGGTTGAAGTTATGCTTCCTCGGCCGTGAGGAAGGCCAACAATAACTTTGCAGGAGGGCATGAGGAAGCACCGTGGCCGAGTTCAGTGCAAGCAGAGTCCGAATCAGTGCTACACACAGCCCCCGGAAGGTCGTGCAGAGCCGTGTCATGGGCGAGGCAGCCTATGGAGCAGGCTCTCCCGTTGCTGGCTGTCACAGGCGGTTTATTTGCAGGTCTTGCGAAGTGGAGTTCAGGTTGGGTAGGGCACTGGGCCAGCAGACTGCCGCCTGAAAAAGGCAAGTCTTCTTGCCAAACCAAATCGGAGAGCAACGCATTCACGCGACTCACCTACCAAAACCTCAGAAAGACCTTCGCATATGCTGGAGGCTGTAGCTCTACAGTATCCCAGTCCTGTGACTCGATTTTCACATGCTCGAATGTTTGAAACGTCTTTTGCCGGATACCTTGGCACTTTCTTCGCATCCCTGGCAGACCGCAAGTACACCGGTGTGGCTGCGCACTTAGATCTCTGAACTGAGCAGTCTCGTGCCAAGCAGTAAGATAGTTGTCCGGAGTAAAAAAGTTGGAGAGGTAGAGAGCCGACTCTCAGCTGTGGCACACGTTATTTTTGAGTGACCAGCTGGGCTGCGATTCAAATTCGGATGTGGCAGGACTAGCTATAAGCATTTCTAAGTCGCACGCCCCGTTCCGTCCTTGGCTAAGCATCGTGCTGGTTTCCTGAATAAAGATTCCGTCACGGTCGTGCTTGAAATAACGAAGGACAGCAATACCAATGGACCAAGGTTGCATGCGCTCGCGAACTCTACCGCGTGGAGGGGCTTAAAGCCTTTGTCCGAGGCTGGTGTCAGATGTCTGTCGGTGCTGCCGCCACATCCATCTCTCTCATTTTTTTTTTGTTTTTTTTTCTCTCTCTCTCTCTCTCTCTTAGCTCTCTCTCTCTCTCTCCCTCTCTCTCTCTCTACATTCACTCCGATGTGGTCATAACGTACCTGGTATTCTTGCTGGTTCTTGCGGCACTGAGAACTGAAACCGAAATGACAGTGCAGCCTGTGCGACACCCGACCTGATCCTGCAAGAACTGCCAGGATACTCCGCCGTTCTCATGCGGGCCGGTCCTGTGAATGCCGTGGCTTTGCTGCCTCAGTCTGGTTTGTGTTCTGCACCGGAGATCAGACACATCTATTGATCATTAATTGCTTACCATCTCGGTCCGAGTTTGACCGACATGAGCATTAAACCGAAGAAACCCAAGGACCGTCATTGGGTTCCTGAAGTCAACTTTACATAGCTGAATTCTGAAGGTCCTTTTTCCTGCCGTGGACTTCCTGAAGCCTGTGGTGGACAAGAGCTTACCGAGCTGAGAGGAAACACCATTCAAGCCTGGTTTGAGGATTGCTGAGGATTGAAAAGAAAGCACCAACGGCCCGAAGCCGACCAGACAAGATCCTCGCCTTGACAAGCCTGCACGATACAACTAAGACCCCAACTAGATAGCTCAACCTCTGAACCTGCATGGCATGCTAAAACACCTGCTTGCAGGCGGAATTCAGACATGCATGACATTTTCGTGTCCGGGAGACAACTCGCAGAGCCGTGGCTACAGAGTTCATTGAAAGGCCCAACTTGCAGATTCCACTTTCTGGTACTGCGCTGTAGTCCTGGGAAGCCGTAGTCGACTCGTGGTGGCCGCTGTCCTTCGAATCTCTATCCGTAACTGTAGAGGTAAGCAGATCTTCCGACCCAGAGCAGTACTTGTGGGCTTGCTTGCGAGATTCATCAGCTTGCTGTGTTCAGTTGGCTGTTGTCGCTACCACACAGTAGCCCTAAGCCCTAAGCCTCTACGGCCAAACTGGCAGATGCGTTGCCGCTCGGACCCACTTGACCGATTTTTGGCACATCTTTGTGCCCCACCGTTCCGACATTCCGGTCAAAAAGCTCCACGCAGAGAGTTCGAAGGCTTCGAGCCCTAAGCTCTGCACCCAAAGGCCCAACTCCAGACGTCTACTTCTTTCGCCTTTTGCTGTCAATTTCCGTGATTCCGGAAGTTTGCTGCACAATACAATGTCATGGTCCTGGCATTGACAGTGTTGACAAAGCAAACCCCACGTCGCAGAGTCTGGACTTCAAACCTCCCAGCCAAAGCTCCATACCCCGAATCCAGAAACCCGGCACCCATTCGATGAAGCCTGATCCGTTGAGCCCGAATATACCCCTGCAGCCGACATCTACATATAGCTCACAGCTTTCACAGAAAACACCCTTAATGCCTTAAAGCGCCGAAAGAGCATGAAGCCAAGTCTAAGTTACCTGTTACCTACAGTTCCGAAGCAAAGTTCCACCAGCTTCGGTTGCATGTACGCAAGCAACGAAATGAGAGCACCAAGATCTTAACACCGAAAGGTTACCGACTTGCCCCCAAACAAGGAGTCAGACGATATGGAATGCGACACAAGCTCGGATCCTCGTTGCCCTTGCTTCCCTTTCAGCCGTGCTTTCATCCCAAAGCTGGGTTTGAAGAGGCGCCAGATGGCAAGGCCGACGGAATTTTAGACCTGGCTTTGAAGGCTCGGAGCGCTTCCGGTTTTGGGGGAAGATGGGAAGTCGAAGCCCTTTGGGTGCGCTCCGGCTGGCGAGATCGTCAGATGTCGGATAGAGACTTCGACCCCGCATGGCTGATCAGGATTGCCAAGACGCTCGGGCCCTGTCCTCAGCCGCCTCAGCAGACACAGGCCTTCTTCCTGTAGTTTTCATATGTTTTCCTTAGCTAATGTATGCGATTTAAAGACGCACCAAACCCTATGCTATATTCTGACTCTGCAGCACCCCTGGCTTCCGTCGCCTTTCTTCGATTCCATGTCGAGATCGAGCTGCGCCTTACGGGGACCACGACATACAGGAGTTCTGAAGCATAATAGCTGATGTCCAGAGCACTTCACATTTCTAGCATCAGCATTGCCTGCAACGTTGCTGCGATTCTGGTCATGGTCAGCATGTGTCTAACCCTGTTTACAGTGAAACTGCTCTTCATCGAAGCACAGCGGTGAGCTCATCGATGCTTCGGACTTCAGCCTTTGCATTAGCAAACGCTGCTTCATCCAACCGCTCGACCGAACACCTGCCACCTTCACAGAACCCCCCGTTCTAGAGGCTTGGGGTGTCGTGTTTCGGGCCGGGTGACTGACTCGTGTCTGGGCACATGTTGGCGTAGCCTATAGTATCCGCAAGTAGTATCTTGCTGTTGAGGGGGGCGCTCCCGACCGCTTCGGCGAATTTCGCAACACATTGCCGATCAGACATCCTCATCATCCCCATCACCCTCATCATCATCTTCAGATCTACCGGTGTTATCGTGACATAAACACACACACAAACAAACACGCACACACACACACACATACACACACACACACACGCACACGCAAATGCAAGTTATGAAGCTCATGACCGAGGCACTTACAACGCGGCTGAGCAAAGAGGACCCGCATGTCCTTGCTTGGGCTTCTCAAACAGCTGTTGTCTGTCACCATCGTAAACACAACAGCACACGGCACAGAGTCCGGTCACGTTTACTGCCGCTACTTACTGACTTTGCCGCTTTCCTTGACTTCCTCACGCGGATTGCGCCAATTCTTGACAATCAAGGCTTGTGTGTTTTGACTTCGTGCGCAGCCGCGTGTGCATTCTGAGGTTCAGGAGGCTCATTTCGTGCACAGTGTGATCATGGTCGCATCTTCACTCGCTTTTAAGCCATCTTATGATACGAAACAGTTTGCAGGATTTTCCTCCTGTAGACGGCGCCTTCTGAAAGCTAGTGCATGTTTCGAAGCCAGCGTTTACATTGACATCCTGTTTGCCTGGTTCGCTTCACAAGCCAGATACGGTGCCTTGGTGGGGTGAGTACACTTCTTGCATCCGCTCTTCAAGAAGCTAGCAGATGCTGTGGTTGTTCTTGCGACACATCCAGATGCCTCCGTCACTCACATCCTGGACTAAGCAGTTTCAGTATCATGGACTTGCACAGGAGCTCACCGCCACGCTCAGCGAGCCTCGTAATATCGGCTACTCGGGCGCAATGCCGATGTGTTCTCGAGGAAGAGAATTGCTGCAGAGTTGTTCTTCCTAGAACCCTCGGAACCCAGAAGGGATCACTCGGCGCATTGAAGGTTCTCATCAACAAACTGCACACAAGAGCCTCACTCGCTTTGGCGGTGAGGATCTACAGCCTTATAACGAGCCTGAAAACGCCACTGCTTCAATTTGTCAATAGACTCGTGTAAGCCTTAGGAGCCGTGAATTTCAAGCCATGCTCGCATGCTCACAGCAACATCATCAATCGATGTAACACAGCGGCTCTGCATAACAACAGCGCCGGTCCATGTCATAATTGCGACAAGCTGAAGAGCTCAATCAATGCTTCCTAATCCAAGGTGTTGCCTTGGATCTCATCGGTGTCTACCTGAAGAACTACGAGATAGACAAGCGACTCGGCTCCCTTGGGCCTTCGGTGGTCCTGACCTGAAGCGCCGCACCCCAATGCTTTCATCCCTGAACCTTGACTCTCTCGCCTCTGACTTCTTCGGAACGGCGGGTGAGAAGATTCCCCTTATAGACGGCTCAAGCTTTACTGACGTCCCATGCATTCGAACGCGATCCGACTTTACACGCTATTAGTCTACGAGTCTACACATGTTTCTGCTTCTCGGGTCGTGGCTCTGCATTTGCAGAGCTGTGACCCTGCGCGGTTCTAGTGCTCACAAGAACGAGAATGCCAGAAGATGGGCTGGGAATAGTTATGTCTACAACAGCAGCGAGGTATCCATTCTGATCCCAGAGGGGAGACCTCTTGTGACATTACCTGTTGTGGCGTTGCAAGCACACACGCACTTCCCCGAGCTGCGAATACAGATCATGTACGGCAGTGCTAACAAGGATTACGTGCACATGCAGAAGACGCTCGTGGAACTCCAGCAGAAAGGTGCTGTATTTCTCACACCAATGCCTGGAGAAGCGTACAATATCAGCCAGCTTCCTGCCAACAAACGAGTGCGTGCGTATTCTGACACGGTCTTCTCACCCGAGTTTTGGCAGCTGATAACCACTCCGAAAGTTTTGATAGCCCAGACGGACTCCTGGATCTGCAATGGGGCACACGAGCACTTGAAAGACTTCCTTCAGTATGATTACGTCGGGGCTCCGTGGTCTCAGTTCAGGACCCACTTCTGCGCGAAGACGCAGGAAGGAAACGGTGGATTCAGCCTGCGGGGTCGGGAAGTGATGCTCAGGATCACCCAGGCTTTCCACCCCAATGGGCTACCTGAGGATGCCCACTTCTGCAATAAGCTGGAAAAAGAATTTGAAGGCAAAGGTAACTTGGCTCCGGAGAAAGTGGCGCGAAATTTTGCCAGGGAGCAGCTCTCGGAACAGGAACTGTTGGGCCCGACCATGCCAAGTGTAGGCATCCATAACCTGTGGCTGACTCCAGAGGGCATCCGGAAATTCTTCGAGGGCCAGTGTCCCGGTGTGAGTTTCGTGAACCCCAGCCTGGAAGCTCTTGACAACAGCGAAGGCACCCTTGGCGAAGTCCTGGTCCAGAGATGGAAACAGGAAGCTTTGCCGCGGATGATTGCCTTGCTCGAGGGCGGTGGCAGTGGCATTCTCGACGCCGTTGGCCTGAAATTGATGGCCAAGATCTTCGCCGAGGATCCCCTGCAGGATCCGCTTGTGGTCAAATTCCTTCGTCTGGCAGCGGAGACATGGCAGTGAGCTCCCATAACCCGGCCTGCACACCAATTCCTGCTGTTGCTGCCGAGCGGACTCTCATATGCAAGAGGCAGAACAAAGTTATGCTTTTGATGTCACCTGTGCTCCGGGAGTCGGATTGCCTGTATCCCTGCCATCACCAAGCATTCCTTGATATTCTTTGGTGGTTGATTGAACTGACATCCGACGACTCCAGTTTCCAAGCAGCAATTCGGTTTGCCCTCGGCAAGCTCGTCGAAGCTGGTGCTTAGGTTGACGGCAGGTTAAGGCTTAGGCCGCAGCATGTACTGAAGCCGTGACACTCGACAAGACAGGAACGGTCAAGTAGGAACCCTTAAGCTGACAGGGTGCACCGTGGAGGCTTGCGTGACATCGGAGCGACATAGAGACTGCCACTGCATAACATCTGCGAGGCATCCGCAGTATAATGCTCAGTATACGTCACCTCGAAAAAAAACTAAGATGCAGCAATATATGTGCTTGACGCAGAACTGCCGCAGAAGGTCCTGTGCAGTTCACAAAATGCAGGGGAGTAGAAAGTAAGAAGGAATAGCGACAATCGTAGCCCTCCTGCTGTATTCACTCTGTCGATACAGCTGTGAAGGTACTACACTTCTGCTCTGTTCGTGTAGTTTTCGCTGTCATTGAGCTCTGGAGTCCAACCTGTACTGCCAGGTGCGACTACGTACTGGATCGCGTGGTGCCCTTGCCACACTCCAAGAAGAATAGTTGTCGGTTTATCGTCACCGTGCTTGTTGATGGTGATGATGATTATGATGATGATGATGATGATGATGATGACGGCAGGATGTTGATGTTCATGGTTCATGATCATGTCCAGAATCACGACTCTTCTGGTAACGGCAGTGATGGTCCTGATCCCTGTACATCATGACCGCTGAACCATAACGATGTCGAGGATTTTTGACGAAAGGAGAAAGGGGGGGGGAGCCATGACAGGGAAACACTCGTGACCGTTGCTGCAACTGATGTTTCGACGGGTGCCGGCTGAGGGCTGGGAGTTCAGGCTCTGTGCTGCGCACTCTGGACTTTGAAATAACTTCAAGGCCTTAGGTATTTCACGCGTTCAACCAACCCCTCAACCAAGACCACCAAATCTCTTCAAAAGTATGAAAAGCCTTGGACAGACTTGATGACATCAGGTTTAGGCCGTTTAGGTCCAGGGAGATTCTCAAAGTCGAGCTTGGGTCTGGGGAGCTTGGGATTGGCGATCGCCGGCACATCATCCCACTGTTATAATTGCATGGGCCGGCTGGACTAGCTTGTGACGATATTCAGATCCAACGCCAAAGCAGCTAGTGCCGCAAATTCAGACGTGGGTGTAACTCTGCTGAGACGCCTTAGATGCCTTAGATAGTAGATTCTTTTCTGCAGGCCCAGCAAAGATGCTTCGGCTGCTGATAATTTCAAGGCTTCAAGAGTCAGTTGTGCCGTCATTTAATGTAGTTTATTCCTCCTGCTTCGAGCTAACCAATTTCCAGCAACCCCGCTGCTGAGGGCACGGAAGAAGGGCGGAACATGGCTCATCAAGGCCGGCGATAGGATTGCCATACATCCTCTTACCGTCTCTTACCTGTTTGTTGTTTCAAAGAGTTGCCCGCCGTGCATACATGCATGCAGGCCTACGTACCATACATTCAACAGTACATGCATGCACACTACTTTTATGCATGCATGCATGCGTGCCTACATACCTATACCTCCTACCCACCGTACATACATACATGCATACGTACACAAGCGTGTGTGTGTGTGTCGCTCTGCAAAATAACTAAGTTTTAGTGGTTTTGTTTGTGAAGGCGTGTCGTGAATGTATTACAGGATAAAACCATAGATTATTGGATCTCAAGACTGGAAAGGCACCCCAAACTATGAACCCTCAGCTTCCCGACTATACCTCAGCTGATGCAAAGTGCTGCTTGCCTTTCGCAGGCGTTGGACAAGCTCTGTGCGGTTCGGATGAAGCAGCACGGTCCTTGTTCCAAAGCCAGAGCCCCCAAAGCCCGCAGCCCCCAGACAGGGTTTGGGTTTTAGTTTATAGGGTTAAATAGGGTTTGCCGGGTCTGTGCCGCCGCCGTTATTTGCCGCAAGATCGGATGTGCAGGGAGGTCATGTTATTCCATGAAATGTCCAACCGCAAATCGTCTCCAAAGCTGGTTCTTGAAATGCAGTATCCGCATGCGCAACACAACGCACAACTAACGACAGGATCCAACATCAACAGACACACAAAGCACAAGTAAACCAACAGCATGCGCCAGTCCTTACCACAAACAGAGAGCCAACCGCAAAATTGCAAGCCTCGCGTGCTGCAAACCCGCTGAAGGTTCCGGGCCTATGACGCCCTTATGGCCTTGAAAGAGATCGAGCAACTGGTGCCTTTCCGGCCGGAGGAGGGCTGGGAGGTGCCCTTCCTTCTTCAGAGTTTTGTCCATGGGTTTGACAGTTTTGGGAAAGGGTTTCTGAGATGCAACGTTGCAACAATGTGGGCACAAGTCGAGCGGGTCGGGAGTCACTGCCTGTTAATGTTCATGAGCAGAAACACTGCCCATATTCTGAGTCATGCCACTGGGTGCTCCCATTCGGATGCCGCGGGCAATGCCTTCGACCTCTCGAACCTCCCAACAAGTCCTGCAGCTGAAGTTTCCAACTTCACTTTGCCTAGGGAAGACATGCGGTTATGCTATCCAAAACTTGAAGCCTCAGCCGTTGAGCCACCCTAGCTTAAGCCCGAATGTCAACCGCCAGTTCCATGACATCATGTACAGAAACTTCGCGTGGCCGGAAGCTCAGCATGTGCATCTGCTGGAAGGGTTTCAGCTGCCTCACTCTCGTGACGAGAATCTTTGTTCTTGCGATGCTTGATCGGTGTACGTCAGACAGGTCCTAGATTGTTTGCGTTTACCAGATGCCATCGACATCGCTAACGTAGCTCTCGGCATCTGAGGTGCTATTCTTCCCTAGACGAGGCAGAGAAGTGCCTCGAGTACACGCGGAAAAGCGTAGAGGCAGCGGGCTGAGTGCGGTAGCCCAATGCCAGTCCACTGTGGCGAGTAAGATATCCAAACGAGAGACGCCGAAAACTCTGATGGGCCCCTGGGACGACACGTGTGTGTGTGTGTGCGCACGCGGCTTTATACTTTCGGATAGAGCAGCATGTTCAGATTGTAGTTAAAACTAGAATCACATCAGTGATTAGGGGCTTTGGGACGGAAAGTCTTGGTTGTGCGGCAGTAGAGAATTCTTGGATCTGGACAGTTCTGGTTTGACTTGAATGGGGAACCATAGAAGAATTGAGACATTGATCCGCAAAGCGGCTGTCGTGAACTCTCGCACGAGATTGACCCCACCAGGTCCAAAACGTCGAACTGTCATACCTCATCAAGCCACGTACCCCTAGTCAGCTCCGTAGCCATTCTTAAGTCCTCTGCACCTTGCTGAATGACTGCATTCGGCGACAGGCCCTCGACAGCCTCTCTTGTAGCAAGCATCAGACAGGACTTTAGCACATGGGCAGAAGAATGCTAGTTAGAAGCACACCAGTCGCGACAGCAAGAATTTCAGCAGTAGTGCTGGGAATGGAAGACAGTCGTGGTCCTCGTCGTCGTTGTCGCAGCGGTAGTTCAGAAACCGTCTGAAGTAGTCTTCGGTTGTCAAACGCCAGGTCAAGAAAACCAACGGCGTCCCGGCCACATGGTTCGACATATGGGACCTCGGAAAGGCACATGCGCGGCTAGGCCTGGCGACCCGGGGGGCTTTTGGGCTCAGCGCTTAAAGTTTGGAGTTCAGGGTGCAGGTGCTTGTGGTAACCCACTGCCGTGCCCCTTATTATGCACGACCTAAACTATGTATATCTTGTCCACCCGATCCCTGTGACACCAGCCTGCCTTTGCAGAGGCAGAGGTTTGAGTGTACGAGCAAGTTGCTCCAGCAGTCTAATCGATATTACTGGGTACTCAGGCTCTGGTTGGACTTCTCCTGGTATTGCACGGAGCTGCGCCGCCAAGTTTCAGCATTTATCATGCCCAGAAGCTCGAACAATTCTTGTGACCAAACAAACCCTGAGCTCAACCCTTAAGACTTGGCCCTATAGACTCTAAACTCTAACCGTGGGCGTCCCTTCGCAAATCGGTGAAGATGCTTTGTTACAACGAGGTCAAAAGACGCAGCAGCGCGAGGAGATGAAGATCGGCTCTCTCCTCGGTCCGGATTCGATGGCGAAACCTGGAGACAGCCTCGAGATCTCTCTTCGGGGGGGGCGGGCCTAATTACTGGCAAACAGGAGTTTCAAGCCTCTGACGGAATCATGTGCACTGCGCCTTCGGATCTTCCTGAGAGTTGCCTTCAATCGAACCTCCCTGGAGCCTCGGAATCGTGCTACAGACAGAAGGAGACCGCTGAGACCTGAGAAGAGATTATGATAAGCCTCCACATGCTCTTCAGGCTCTGGGCGCAGTGTACATTAGTATCATGTCCACTCTAGACAAGAGTTCCCTTCAGAGCGCATCATCCGTTTCACTACTCTCGCCACCGAGGCTTCGAACTCTGTTCGAAGGCGGGCCGCTCGTGAGGCTTCGGTTGAAGACTCTGCGAGAGCTTACTTCTAGTTCTGGCTCTTGGAGTACAAGCTTTTTGTGGGTGGAGACAGAAACGATGAGCTTAGCTGCAGTTTCGGGTTTTGGGCATGCGCGTGGGAGACGAGTTTGTCCTCCAGGTGCAAACTCAGTGGTTTGGGGTAGCCCGAGGGTGTGCTTGTCTTGCGGTGTCAACGAGCTGCCAATCTCCTGGACTCGAGCCACAGCGAAGCCACATACCAACATCTGGAGAATGAAAGCATGGAACCAGTGAACACGAGTCTCCCGCAGATGTCTCAACAAAGCTCTGCAGAGTCGCCGGGTGAGCGTTGCGATGTGTGACCGCAATCAGTCCCCATGCCCAAGGCCGGGGAAATCCATCGAACAGCAGAGGCGAGCGACAGGCATCTGCGCACCGTGTGAGTTGGGTCGAGTCTCCGGCCTGGGTCTACAGCGACATTGCTTTTCGAAGCCCCGGGGATCTTCGCTGGTTAGACGCTCGAGGTTGCAATTTCGTTTGGAGGACATCGTAAGATAAGTATATTGGAATGCATATTCCAGGGTATGTGTTGGAACCAATAGCGGTAGAGCACTTGTGTGACTTAAACGTGGCCTCGGGACTACTACGGACTCTTTATCGCCACTTGTTTGCATGGGTCCTTTCTGTACGGCTACAAACAGGATCATGCTCGCCAAGATCCTGTCCAACGTTGGCGAGGTGGCGATGGGCATCGGTGCCTCAAGCTGCACTGAACCCGCTTGAAGCTTTGACTTCAAGTCTTGTTTGGTGCCGGGATGTGCCTGGTTGGGCTAGATGTAAAGTCGCAGGTCTACCTTTTACATGTTTCACACGAGAAGTATGACGGATCAGAAATCACAGTGCGTACAAGCGTACATAGCGCTTTCTGGAGCATTGCAGTAAGACTAGGACTGTTAGTGCGCGCCTCTATATAAGGTCGAGTGACACCTTGGAGATTGGGGTTTCCCTCGAACTATCGGAGACACAAGTGATTCTTAGAGTCGGCTTACGACTGCTCGATCGCGTCATCCCAGTTTCAGAACCCGAAAATCCAACGCTCAACGCTACTGCTCTGCCCTACTTCGCGCAGTGTTTCAGCTAAGCAAGGCCCAGGCACGGGAGCGAGCCGGCACTGCAAACCACCAACACGCCAACCCTTGAGAGCTTAACGAAATGCTGTGATTAGCCGAGAGGTGACAGCTTCTTCTTGGAAGACAGCAAAGAGGACTCACGGCAGGGCTGAAAGCAATTTTGATCTGACGGCTCAGGCTTCAGAGATGTTGCCGGTTCCGCGTGTACTTTGGATTTCGCTCGAAGATCCGGTTGTCGCCGACTTGTGGTTGGAGACAGCCTCGAGACCAAGACCATGATGTAGCCTTCACAGCACAAAGCCGCATCTGCACATGTCATGTGAAAACATCGTCCACATAAGCGGAAGGAAGACATGTCGCTAGCTCATCTGGTCACTGCTGTCAAAGCCGCGAATGCCCGAACCTTCGATCCTTCTGACCAGTGAGGCAATTTTGGTAGCGGGTCGCCTCGTAGACCTTTTTGGGACGGTCGCTGGCGAGTCGGCTTTAGACCTCTCACGCCGGCAGGTAGTCACGGGGTTGTAGTCTACGGGCCCGTAAGTAGGGACACGGCTGAAACCCTGTGTGCAGTTACTGTTGATGTTTTCCGACTATCACTTCCCAACACTGCTTTCAGCGACCGTTATTGCGGCTAGCACGCTGAACCCTACGCAACCCCGAAGTCCTGGTTTTGAACCAGTGAGGATGCGAAGGAATGGTGTCTCGGCTGCAGATCGGATTCTGGAGACTTGAAGCTGTGCTAGCTAGCATCTGCCAGAAGCTTCCAACACCCCGAGAAGAGACTTCACTTTCTGTGGCAGGTACGAAAAAGCGGAGGACCCTCTCAGGGAGTCGCCGGGCCCCTGACGGCTGTGACGGTATCGCTGCGGGGTGAGTGAGGCCGTGTAGCATTCGAGTTGCCCAGGTATGAGCTTCACGTCACAGCCCTTGGGCCCATGAAGCCGCTGGCGGGCTGGCAGGCAAGACTTGCGGGCCTAGATCGTGAAGCATATGCTAGAGATTCGTTTCGTAGTATCTTTAAAGGTAACAGTTCTTCACCGAGTGGGGGAGGCTAGCATGGCATAGGGCTGCACCACGAGACCAGGAGGCCGATAGCCAAATTCCGGAGGGACACTCAACCCTGCAGCTCATAATTACCCTACTATACCCTACTCCTGTTTGATCTGAGCCCACACGTGCAGTGTGGAGGCAGGCACCATGGCTCATTGCATGGTTCGGCTGGAGCGCTACTCGGAGGCTTCCGGGCCCTCGCAGCCGTACACGTCGTCTCTGCGGCTTGCAGGATTTGGGCTGGTGCAGCTTTTGGTTGAGGTGTGTGGCTGTTCGAGCTGCAGGATTTGCAGGATTTGAGGCTTCGGGAAAGTCATGTCACTGTTGGCGACTGGAAAGCTGAGCCCCTGCTGGATGCCGGGTGTGTGCAGCATCGTGCTGGAGCAAGGTATCGGGAGCTCAGGGCAGGAACCAGGGGACTAGACACTAGTCGCTTCTTGCACTTCTGTGTAGTTGCTGCAAAGCCTTCCACTAAGTATAACATAAACTGTGAACAGGAATTCTTAAATGGAGCTCAACGTTTCAGCTTCGGATCCCCAAACCTCAAACCTTGACTTCAGACCCTGTAGCTTGGGCCCAGAAGCCTAAAGACAGAACCCGCGGAGGCTCGGGACTACTTGGCCTTGGCCCTCAGGGTCGAGTGCACCAAGGCCGGCGGACCAAGCCCTCGACTCGTCGCAACCCAGAGAATTTGGGAACACGGATTCAGCTCTGAGGGGCTTGGGAACGGGGACTTGCTGAAGAGTTTGGGTTTCGGGGTGAGGTTCGAGGCTTGAAGCTTCAGGCATGCATCCACAGGTGGTTCATGTGCTGAGCCCCAAGAAAGTGCAGTTCGCGAAGCCGCACAATTAGCACGTATAGAGGATGTAAGGATGTAGTATAGCCTAGACGCAGGACTCCACGACCAACGGCAGCCTCGTCCGAGCCTCAGTTTCCTGGATCAAAAAAAGTGTCTGCAAAACGGCCTTAAATGCAGCAAGAATGAAGTCGTTCCTGCGCCGAACCCTAGGGAGTCAGCATAAGCCTGCAGCAGCAGACTGACATGTACCTTCCTGGTGCAAGATCGAGCTCATCGACCGGGTGATGAGCTGCCACCAGGAGTTGGGCGACATGTGCGGAGACCTGGAAAGCCCACAAACGCAAGGAAGCGCCTCGAACAGCTTCCTGAAATTTCGGTATTCACATTGGCGCAGCAGACACAAGGACACCACCAGGCCTTCATCTGCCCAACGTCAGGGCTGCCGACAGGCCGACAGCTTCACAGCCCATCCTACTTCTTCTTAAATATGAGCTTGTCACCAGAAAGCCCCAAAGTCCCAGTCCCAAAGCTTCAGCATGCCAAGCCCTTACACGCATTTTGGGAAGTGCTATCCCAGACGAGGGTTGCGGTTCATCGTTCTAAACTCCAAGCATCCCCAAAGCTTAAATCCCAAATTAAATACAGAGGCCCGAAGCTGCACTGCCAAAAAGTGGTAAAGGCTCTTCGGGATGGGTGGAAAGGATCAGCAGTAACCAGCAGCCAGCAGCTGGACCCTGCTCTCCTCAAGGATTATTCTATGGTGGCCCAGGCCAGGACTCGCCGAGTGCGTTCCAGACCTGGAGCAGGGACTTCGTGGCCTCCGCCAGCGAGGCCCTGCACCTTTTTTTGGCGCTCGCAACCTGCGGCGGCTTTCTGCTTCTGCTTAGGCTTCAGGAACTCGTAGCAACTAGTAGCTAGCACGAAAGAAGAATGGTGGCCGCTTCGTAAAGCGAGGACGAAGTTTTCCTGCTGAGTGATCTTGGCATTGGATGGCACAGTTGTCAACAGGGAGGTTTCAGCATTATGCCAGGGCCAGGGCAGATGCTTAGTGTGGTTTCAAGCCGCGAATCCGGACCTTCTCGTGATGGAGACGCTTTGCTACTGGACGGTTGGGTTTCGCAAGTGTCTTTGCGTGTCGAGGCGAGGCTTTAGGTTGAGCGATCTTACAAGCTCGGTTGGTCTATGGCCGATGTCTGGCAGGCGCAGGGGATGTGTTTGCGCAACTGCACCGTGAGACTGATG